CAGCACAGAGTCCAATGTGGGGCTTCTTCATGAGATCATGACCTTAGCTGAAATCAAGGATCATAAGCTTAAATGACTAAACAACCCCGCTGCCCATCTTTCTATGATTTTTTTAACTGAGGGAAGAAAATTATAGTTGTCCTGTACTATACAAACTAAGTGTTTTAATTAGTAAGAAGAGTAATAGCTAATATTACTATGTGCCCTGGCACTGTTCTAAGAAATTTAGTTATTATCAAAGTCAAGCCTATGACAACACTATGACACATATTTTCATTATTACCAGGTTTTATTCAAGAAAATTGAAGCATAGAGAAATAAACATCTTGTCTAAATTCACAGCATGTAAGTAATGGAGCTTGTATTTGAACCCAGGCACTCTGAGTTAAGTGCTTGCACTAAAATTCATTTATTGTGGGAAGGGGGTATGATCTTTGTTTATAGGGTTAAAGAAGTTAAGAAAATTGACAGTAAGGGAGGTTAAAAATAGTCCAGAGCTTCCAGTATAGTTATAGATTGCAAAGACACACACAGTTGCCACTTAAAAACATGTGAAATGTGCTAAGACAGACATATTTGTGCAAATTTTTGTGGAAATAACTGGTAGCAGAAATGACCAAATAAACATTAATGGGGTTTATAAATTGCTTGAAACATCTTAAAAAGTATACTTTAACATGATTGAATTTCTTCAGTTTTAAAATTGGAGGAACAATGGGTCATGCCCAGCCTGTTGCCTGCTTTTTTCTTAATAAAAGTTTTATTGGAAAATAGCTATCATTATTTGTTTACATATTGCCTGTAGCTGCTTTCATGCTAGGAGGCAGAGCTGGGTAGTTGTGTTAGAAACCATATGATCTGCAAAACTGACAATATTTTATATCTAGCTCTTTACAGAAAAAGTATACTGACCAATGCTTAAAAGAAAGCCCTTGGAAGTTATTATTTAAAAAAACTGTTCTGCTTTGTTTTTACCAATGTCCCAAAGTGTCCAGTTGGATCTGAGGTGAATCTGGTCATGGGGTCCTGAGAGCAGAAACATCCCCCCCAAAATACAAGTAGTCATTATGCCTTCTTACAGGTGCTTACATTTAGATAACAAATCTACTTAAAATCATTTAACACAAATCGCAAGGCAAACTTTGAGCTTTTAGAGCCCTCTGGGAATCATGTGTTTGATTCATTGACTGTTAAACAGATGTCCTCACATTAGAATTTCAGGGTCCATAAAATGTGATAAGATCTGGGAATGCATCTAAAAGAAAGACCACTAAAGACCAGCTCTTTGCTTATGAATTTCTGTGAGCTTTTCTCCGCAACCCATTGCCCCTACTTGGTCTCTTTCTTTGCTTGTTTTTGCTGCTGAGGTACTCACTAGTTAAGCTCTCAACAATTTGCCTAATATTCACCTACAAAACTTAGCAATCCCAGATCGTCTATTGTATGGCTCAGAAACATTTAAAACCCATATTTTATATTTATTATTAAAAATAGAATTTCCTGCAAGGTAAAACAGAAGGTATTTAGAGGAAGCTAGTTTTATTTGGGCAGTAATGAAAACGGGCTCCTGTTGATTTATATTCTTGTTAAAAATTTTTTTAATGTTTATTTTTGAGGCAGAGACTGACTGTGAGCAGGAGAGAGGCAGAGAAAGAGAGTGAGACACAGAATCCAAAGCAGGCTTTAGGCTCTGAGCTGTCAACACAGAGCCCAACGTGGGGCTTGAACTCAAGTACCATTAGATCATGCCCTGAGCCAAAGTCAGACATTTAACTGATTGAGCCACACAGATGCCCTGATTTATATTCTTGTTATATGGCAAATACTTTGTTAAAACATATTACATAGTATATAATTTAATAAGTATGGGGAATTAATGGATATTAAACCATTTATCTGCTTTAAAGCTTTTTTTTTTTTTTGTAGTTTACTAAAGCAAATAAAAAAATCCTCTTCCCCACTGGCATCAAATTTATTCATTTGTTTTTATTTCAGACTGCATCTATGTCTGGGAAGTCTATATATGACTTAAAAAATGACTAAATTGGAAATTTCTTCATTGAATGAACATTTGCTCAAAAGTTACCAAGTTATAAACTTTTTGCAAATGATATAGGATACAAAAATAGTTCCAAATTTAATATAACCCACTAAAAATAGTAATATTGAGAGCAATAATTATCAAATTATAGGGTCAGCAGCCAAAATTATGTTCAGAGAACTACTTTTGGATTTCAATGTTTTCATTCTTAATGGAATGAAAACTAAAGAATTCAACTTAATAAGAAAATTAAAATAAAGAACAAAACAATAAAGAGAAAGTAAAAAAGCACAAGTTTTTAAATAAAAAATACTACTGTTAAATCTAAGAGCTAGGTTTTTGGGGATGAAATGATCAAATACAACATGACTGTAAGCAGTAGAAAAAGATGATCTTCAGATAAAACTAATCAATTAAAAAGAGAAAAACGAATAAAATAGAGATGGAAGGGACCTAAGAATACACAGTAAAGAGTTAAAAATAAATAAAATAAAATAAAGAGTTATAAATGGGTATATGTAAACATATGTTGATCTATGGTAACCTCATTTTGAAAAGATATATGAGTGTAGTTTTCAAAGCAACTTGGTTATACTTCTGAATGGTAACTTTACCTATTAATTATTTTTAAAATTATATAAAAATATTTCTTAATTTTATACATATTAACTAGAAGAAGTAAGAAAAAGATTCTTCTACTTTAAGGTAAAGCAGAAAGCATTCTTCCTTTAGACTCTAGCTAATAGTTAAGAGCCGGAGAACTTGTAGATTCTCTTTGGTGGCTAGTGTTTTTTCTTCTTTCTTTTTTTTTTTTTAACTCTTAAATAGACTTTATGTTTTAAGAATTTTTAGGTTACAGAAAAAGTGATCAGAAATTAGAAGGAGTTCCCATATCTTCCCCAACCCCCACCCCCAACATGCCTACCTTCCCCACTACAAACATCCTTTACTACAGTGGTACATTTTTCCCAAACGACAAAGCTACATTGACACATCACAACTGTCCAAGGTCCACAGTTTATCTTAGGGCTTGCCCTTGGGTACATTCTATGAGTTTTAACAAATGTATAATGATATGTGTCTACCGCAACAGTAATATACAAAATAGTTTTCTTGTCCCACAAAAATCCTTTGTGCTCTGCCTCTTCATCCTTCCCTCTCTCCTAATCCATGCCAATCACTGATTTTTTTGTTCCACTGTCTACATAGCTTTGCCTTTTCTAGAATGTCCTAGAATCTTGGTTGCTTCTAAATTCAGACAATTATAAATAAAACTGCTAAAAATATCTGAAAGCAGGTTTTGTTTAGAAATAATTCTCCTACTCATTTGGACAAATACCAAGGAACACAATTGTCTTTTAAAGAGATTTAAACTTGGAAAACTTTTAAATGAGACTTGTTTTCTCCAGTTTACTATAAATGCCAGCATTCTCTATTATTTTATACCCAGCCTTCTTACATTTATGTTACTTACTTTGGGCATTTGAAATTTAACTACAATACCTTAATGGAGTTTTATGCATTTTATGGAAAGACAAGGTTTTTTTTCATTGAAGAAGGAAAAAAAATACATAAATCTACTTATTTTAATTCACTTCTGATTTTGGGAAACTAGTCTGAGGATGCCTAGGAAAGAAACCTCTGACTTTTACTAGGTATCTTCAGAAGATTTCAGAATCCTTTTCTTTAGAAATCTAAAGATCTAGAGATCTAGAGATCTTTTCTTTATGAGCATTGCAGAAAAAAGAAATACTCCAGTTCTGCCTATTTCATAATTCATTGTGTATTCTCCTACTATAACTCTGAGAAATCATTCACTTCTGAAGCAATCAAGGTCCAGCTTATCAAAGAACATTCCTCTGGGTGATACTATGGATTAGGCTAATACATTATGAGGATGTTCCATGGGGATATTGCTTTGGAGCCACTCCATTCCAGCAGAGTTCATACCACTGTGAAGGACAAAGCCTGACTAGGGAGGGACTTATTTACTTCTATAAATTTATCATCCTGGTCTATTTTATAGTGGCGGGATCTGCTGATGCAGAGTGTAAGGTGTGAAGAAACCAATAACAGGGCTTGTTTAGATAGTGCCAAGAGAAAGACATGGAGAAAAGAGATGGTAAAAATTTGGATTTGCCTCTAGGTGGAAATGTAGCTCCTTGTTGGAGAGAGAGTGACATTTTCTAAGTAACAATTATCTGCACAGCTATGTGTCTTCATGACTAAATTGTGTGTGAAAATGGCATACAGATCTATCAGGGAGTATGGGCATAGTTAATTATGTCTGAAATAATAAATGTATGATTTTCACAGGATAAGGTAAACAGCCAATTAAAATAAGATATGATACACAGTTTCTCTACTCATTAGTCAAAGCATAAAACATTTTAACATTGCCTAAATAATTTACTTGTGTGAAATAAAGGGAAATGCTTAAAACATTAATAGGGTACTTTACAGTCTTGAAGTCAGTAAGTTGTTATATGATGGTTATGTAAATAATTCACAACTTCATTCGGCAGGAGGGGACTAAGGCTTTTTTGTACAGTGCAAATACTTCAGATTTGCCATAGGTTTCTCCACTGGGTCAAGCTATCTTCAATGGCTTCTCACAGATGAAGACTGGAGACATTTTTATGCTAATATGCTACTTATGTTTCTCTCCATGGAAATATTACTAACTATGAAATTTTATTGATTGCTGCTCTGATCCCAGCACTTCTCAGGTACTTTATAAAAAAGGACAAATACTGTGTGATCATACTTAGCTTCTTGAGGAAAAATAGAGATACCCCCCAAAAATAAGTAACAAATAACAATCTACACACATATCAGATAAAATCCACTTTCAATATTCAAAGTTCTAGCAAACATTCCTGCTTTTGACTAGTTTATACAGAAAACATGATAGTAGACATGGCTCTCTGTAGGAGATGACATATTCTCAATATGTTACCTTATGGAACATTTCAATTCCCCATCCTTAATGATTTCATCCGGAGTGAATCTTCCCAAAGTTTTAATTCACTGACTTATTTGGGCTGTAGGTCTTAACAAATATCCAAATGCTTGAATCAGATTGCTAAAACAAGAAAAAATATTGGCTTATATAACAAAGGTGTGACTATTGTCATCTTATTTTGATGTTTCTAATTATAGGGAGTAAATGCCCATCACCACATTATATAGAATTACCATGTGTGTTCTTTAAGGGCACTAGGAAAATATAGGAATTTATGTTTAAAAAAATCAATGTTGTAACTGGCTTACCAATGTATCCACACTCTTACCATCCCTGGACTCTGATACATATTTGACATGTTTGCTCCAAGAAATTTGCCACCATAATCTGAACAGTTCATAAGAACAGAATGGCCAAATAAGAAAAAATGAAGTATACCACTAACTTATTTCTCATCACTAATGGATTATATAATGGAGTCCAATTGCATCTAGTCTCGTCTACCTATGTGTGCTTGAAGATCCAGCCAGAGAATTAGAAGCTGATAGTAGAAAATGCTTCCATTCATCAGCGAATCCCTTCTCCATCTACAGACTACAAGCATTATCACAATTTCTAGAGACAGACCATTCATCATTTTCTCCCACAATGGTGGGAATACAAAGAGTATTCACCATGCACATAAAACCATAGCCACATGTGATTTCCAAGTGAATGGATGCACACTGCCCACCACATTTCCTTTTGGAACATGATGCTGAAGAGATAATAATTAATTACAACAAAACATATAGTTCATAGCTGCAACGAGCATCATAAAAAGAAATGGCTGATTTTTAAAAACTTAGGCACAACAGAAATACATCTTTAACTGAAGCTTCACAGAGCAGCATTTTAATCTTTTTTCCTTATAGGGTATTTAAATAATGCAAAGTAGCAGAAAAAATTATCAAACTGATTGCTATATGTCACTGTACATTTTAGAAGTTTATCAAGGACCATAATATTTCTGAGTTAATTATTTCAACATATTCACAGTGATTGCTGCTTTTTTTGTCCTTTTTGTTTTAAATTTGACAAATAAAAGACAATATTTGAAAGGAGATTTCACCGGAGTATTGTTTGTTTGGACTCCAGGCAAATGATAATTTATTAGATTATTCTAAAGTTTAAATATTGATTAAAAACTACAAAATCAGTCATATATGTACACTGACAACTTCAAAATACACTGGGAGCCATTCTGAGCCCACTAGTCGACAAAACTCCTGGTGAGGTTAAGGTAAGTTTGCAAGGCTCTTGCCAATCAGATGACGACCGATATCCACCCCTCACTCAATTATTTCTGCTTGAGTGCCAACTCCCAAGGTACCTTGTTGATCTGTATCGGGAACGACTTGTTTCCTTATTCTGGCCCTGTATGATGACTGCACATTGTGAAGGAACTTATTGTGGAAACTTCTTCTTTCGATTATGGGAACAGACATCGTGTCTCCAGCAGGTCCTGTTTCCCTCCATACTTTCCCTTGAGCTATGAACTATGAACAGGCTAATGACCCTTACTCATAAAAGATTGACTTTATATGTACAATTCTGTTTCTACGGTTGTGTTAGTACAAGAGATTCATACAGCTCAACGTGTAAATCAGCTAACCAAAAATGTCTCTCATGCTCTAGCTATTCAAGAAATCATAAAACCAGACACAAAGGTAAATACACTAGAGGAGGCTATTCTACATATTGGAAATGAGCTAATCTCTTTAAAGGTATGACTGGCCCTCTGATGCCATAAAGCATATAACTGGAAAATCACGTCTTGTCCAGAGACAGCCTAACTTGGAGAGAAAGAACAGATAAGAGCAGAACATAAGTTACTACACATACCTTTGCTAACTGGTGGTGTATAGCAGCCCCTTCCCTAAGGCCTACATTCCACAAACACCTTCCCTTACACTGGCAGCTGTGATGAGGATGGATAAGAGTATCCACAAACCTATGATTTAATATTAGTGTTATTAAAATGTGAACACCCTGTTATTTTCTTAATTACTCAACCTCACTATAATTGGGGCAGTTCTGCAAGAATACTTCTGTAAAACCTGTTACTGTACATTTTCCAAAAACATCTTATCACAGAGAACTATCCATTGTAAAAATTCCATTTTCTGATGCCATGTTAACATCTGACCTATAAATAAAGACACCAAAACTGACAGGACAGAGATGCCTGCCTGGTGATCAGAAAGGATCTCGGGGCTCTCTCACTCTCTCTCTCGCCGACACCGTCCATCCTTCAGGGACCCCTGGACCTGGCCAGAGCTAGACTCTGGCAAAAACAGTAAACTCTCACAATAACCTGATTAATATAGCTCTTCCAAATTTGAACAGTTATGTTTCTTTGGTTTTATAAATGTGTTTGTGTCTATATAAGAAATGATGTTTGAATGAACTATTTTTATGATTACTGTGTTTTAAAAATATGAAACATCTAAAAATGTCATTAAATTACTTAAAATATGTCCCTGAAAGGTGGATTTGAGGTATATTACCCACTTAAAGCTTAGAATTTTCAATTGATTTTGCCTTTCTGAACACCATGACTTTATTTTCAATATACACAGTCGATTATTTTCTTAGTGCCAGAGAAAAGATGCCTCAAATTAACACTACAGCGATTGGGGGCACAAATGATTGGGAAAGTAATTTTTTTTTCTATTTCCTATATCTTTTCAGGCACACAACATTAAAACAATATCCTATTAAAAAGCTTCATAAAGTCATAATAGGCAAGACAATCTCAAAGTCAAGTGCGTTAGCTAATAAACCTGCAGAACTATTAAATCTACACTCTTTACCAGCCATTCAGTTAACACCCTCCCAAAATAAAACTTGTCAAAATAAGAAAAGCAATTTTAGGCTTCAAATATTAGATGAACACGTATTTGGACTAAGAGGGAAACTGAGGTTTTTACTTTTCTAGATGCTATACAGCATGAACCTGAGTAAGGATGTAGGGGTAGATCAGCGTGGAGAGGAAAAATATTGGTGACAGAGTTGTGTCATATAGTAGACACAGCTATGCCCTTCGGCACTGTAGCCACTGTCCACCCACAGTGAAATTAAACCAATTAAATATAAACTAAGTAAAATTAAACTAATTAAAAGAATTGACTAATTAAAATAAGGTAAAAACTTCATTTGCTCAGTCACTTTAATGACATTTCAGTTGTTTAATAGACACACATGGCTACTGGCTACTGAATTGGACAGCACAGGATACAGCACATTGATCAATGCAGAAAATCCTTTAATTCAGCCTTGGGTAGAATAAAGCAATCACAAATTAGTGTTTCAATTTAATATGCCTAATGTTTCAAATAACCTTAGCAGCCTGACTCTTTTTAGTTCCAGGAATATGCAAAGTTTGCAATCTTTATTTTAACATGGATTCATTTTTCAATATGTTTTGCTAAATATATAGACAAAAAGCTGAGTAAAGCTGTCAATTTCCATGAATTTTCACAAACTGAAACTGAGTCCACCCTTGTAACCAGCACCTGAATAAAGAAATAGAATTTACTATCGGCATTCTAGAAGTCCCCCTGCCTCCTTTTCACTGCCTCCACAAGATAATCACTATTGTGACTTACCAATAGCAATTACTTTACTTATTTTATTTTATATAAGAGGGATCATATATTATGTAGTCTTCTGTGTTTGGCTTTTTTTGCACTAGATTATGCCTGCGGGGTTCATTCATATTATGCTGTATATTTGTAAATGGCCAATTTTCATTGCTGTAAAGCAGGAGCCAGCGTGTATATACATGTATATAAGTATATGTGTATGTGCATACATATAGACATAGACATACATGTATGTATACACATACATACATAGACACATATTTTTAAGAGACAGATCACAAGTATTTTCAGCTTTGGGGGCCATGTGGTCTCTTTCACAACTACTTAACTCTGCCATTGTGGAATCAAAATAACCATACTGAATGCGTAAATGAATAGATGTAGTAGCTCTGTTCCAATAAAACTTTATTTATAAAAGCAGGCAGTGGGCTATACCTGGTCCATGCTCTGTAGTTTGCCAATTCCTGCTGTTTAATATTCCACTGTATGACTAAACCAGTCTATTCATTCTACTGTTGATGGCCATGTGGAAAATTGCTAGTTTTGGTTATTATTAATGTTCTGGGAACATTTCAGTACATATTTTTGGTGAATATTTCTAACTCCCTTTTTATGCCTCCTCTACTTTCCGTGTCCCCCACTTACTGTTCAGGTATTTATCCTTTAGCATATACTTTAAATCTCACCCCCTATTATGGGGTCAGATTGTGTCCCCCAAAGTACTAACCTCCAGTACTGTGAATGTGACCTTATTTGAAAATGAAGTCTTTGTGGATGGATGACCAAATTAAGATGAGGTCATTAGGGTGAGTCCTAATATAATATGATTGCATCTTTACTAAAAAGGGGAAATATGAACCAGGGATAAGCAGAGAGGGAAGACAATATTAAGATAAAGGAATAATGCTATCTACAAGCCTGAGGTGACTGGAAGCTAGGTGAGAGCAATGGCAAAGATTCTCCCTTACATTCCTGAAAAGAAACCAACCCTCTGACACCTTGATGTTGGACTGCTAGCCTGCAGAACTGTGAGACAACAAATTGCCATTTGTGAATTTTACCATTAATTTGTGCTTTGTTATGCAACTCTAGCAAATTAATACACCACCTGAGAGAGGTATTCCTTGACCAAGTATCTATAGTAGCCCTCTCCCCTTTACTATCACTTGGTCTTACTTTACTCATCACTTATTTTTCCTGATTTTTTATTTTCCCTGCTAGAATTAATTTCTATGAAAGCAAAGAGCTCATTAAATTTTTGCTCCACTTTTCCTTACATAGCATACCTAGAGGATCAATAAATATTTTGAGATAATAGAATATGCAGGATGGCTAGTGTTGCAATTTTTCTAAAGTATCTGATACTTTAGAACTGAAAGTAGCTGGAATAGTAAGGACTGCAAGCCCAAATGAGTTAACTATGGAAGAATTAATGGTTTTACAAGACCAAACTAAATGACATTAATATGAGGTGATTAGAAAGAATTTTAAGGAGTGGAACAATAGAGTTAATCTCCAAAAATACTATATATTGGGCTACCAGGAAGCCATTATTATAGTAGGCACTGTCATGTTTTACTGCTCTGCTATAGCCTAGCTTACATAACTTCTGTAAGCTAGGTCCTTCTTAGAAACAGTGAGAAAAGTAGTGATGCCTGCCTTACAAGATTATTGCATGGAATTATTTTAAAAATGCCTACGATTTACTCTGCACAGAAAGTGTGCAATAAATGTGAATTTCCCAAATTCACAATGTATTCAATAGAAGAACTAAGCACTGACAATGCCCAAGGGTCCACAGCTTATAAATGTCAGGATCAAGTTTTGAATCCAGGATTATTTAACCTAACTGATCATTCTGCATTCCTATTTTTTTAAATTTTGTTGTTTATTTTCAAGAGAGAGAGTGTGTGTGAGCAGGGGAAAGGCAAAAAGAGAGGGAGACATAGAATTTGAGGCAGGCTCCAGGTCCCCAGCTCTCAGCACAGCCTTACGCAGGGCTCAAACTCACGAACGGTGAGATCATGACCTGAGCTGAAGTCAAATGCTTAACCAACTGAGCCACCCAGTTACCCCTCTACACTGCTAATTATATGCTCTTGCTGGACATTTTTATAGCAATTGGTTTGATTAATATTCTATTCGAGAAAGTAAAAGCCTTTTTCATTTTTTTAAGAGAAAGCAAAATTGGCTGCTGTGAAAGGTTCCTTCAGTTATTTTGAAATATGGTCACAATAGGAGGCCTTGATGCTTGCATGTCAAACTCAAATTCTAGACTCCAACACCTGAAGCAATCACAGAAGCTTAAGAGCAGTGTCCGGTCCATTTAAACCCAGTTCAGTAATGACAACATCACAGAGTTCTTTCTGATTCTATGATTTTATGCACTTGGAGATATTTTATTTAGAGAGATTTCAAAGTGCTCATTCTAATCACGGAAATTTGGAGACTTGAAACCTTAATAGAAAGACTAAAACATGATTTTGAGCTTTGCCAACAATGATCAGGCCCCAAGAGCAGTTTTCATTATGGTAGATGTTGGTCAGCAGGGGCAAATCATGGTCATCATGAGTGGTTGCATAGCTTTCAGAAATGAACATAACCTGGCATGAAAAACTAGTTGGCTTATTTAATTAATTAAGTTATTTACTTATTACTTACTTAAGAAAGAGACAGAGGCAGAGTGCAAGCAAGAGAGGGGCAGAGAGAGAGAGGGAGGGAGACATAGAATCTGAAGCAGGTTCCAAGCTCTGAGCTATCAGCACAGAGCCCAACACAGGGCTCAAACTCACAAACTGTGAGAGCATGACCTCAGCAGAGGTTGGACGCCTAATCGACTGAAACACCTAGGCGCCCTCGGTTGGCTTGTTTTCAAAAGACACTGATGGTCTTTATCTTTTGCATCTAATACAATATTACGTTTCTCTGGCAATAAAACAAAGATGTTTCATGTTTGTAGAAAATCAACATTTTTCCTATTGATTTTAATACATGTTGAAACTAAATTGCAGGGACAATAGAGTCCTCATTTTAAATGGTGACAGTCAGTACTCTAGGCATATACCTCCAAATGCAGCTGTGTATATAAACACATATCTACAAATAAAACATATAAATTTTGTATATTTAATGTGGTTTTTGCTTTTTGAGAAGTTTATGTTGATAAATTTCTATCCCCAAACTCAAACCCTCTATAATTTAAGGACATTCATGATGAGAAAGGGGGCCCAGAAGCATCTAACAGGAGGTGTTAACGGTCTCTAGTTTCAGTCAGCTGAAATAACAATTCCATGAATGTGCACCAATGTCACGTAGACAATCAGAGGGCATTGGCCATAAAGTATAGGTAACACTAAATGAAATAATCATAGCATCTTCTAAAGCAAGAACATTTCCCACATCAACTCAAGGTCCTAACATGCTATTTTGAGATTTTCACCCTAAATAATGGTCCAGCCTTTCCTTCTCATTCTCAACCTGTAGTTGACAAAAAAAATTACAAAGGATTTTGGCTTTGCAATATTAACCAGTGATTTATTGTATTAAGCAGACATGAAGTCATTTTATATTATGAATATAAACTTTGTCCTATTGAAGAAATATATATATGTATACATACACACAGTGTGTGTGTGTACACACAAGAAATATATATATACTGTGTATCTATCTATCATCTATGTATCTATGTATCTATGTATCTATGTATCTATGTATCTATCTATCTATCTATCGAGAAAAGGAAGAGAGGACAACTGTCATGGGACAAACGTTTGAAAAACGTGCAACTATAAATCTACAACTGAATACCTAGCTCTTCATAGAACTAAACTGCGCAAAAATCTTTGTGTTTTAACTTCTGAGCTGCTCTTGGCTGTCTGATTCAGTGTTCCCTATTCAGGGACGTGTCTGCTTCCTTCGGGACCTTCTGCCTGCCGAAGACAAGGATGCTGTTCCAAAATGAAATTTGGAGCCCAATTTTAAATTGAATCTCACCCTCCAGAGTAAACAATAGATGGAAGCTGCCTATTAAATCATCAACTTTTAATTAAATCCTTTGCAGCTGTAGGATCCCCATCCTCAACAAGGTGATAAATGTATTGTATTCTAATTTAGTTATTTTTTTGTACTAAACTCAATGCAAAAAAGAGAGACAGAGACAAACAGAGACAGAGAAAGGGAGTGAGTGTGTGTATATTATATTTAGCAAGTTCCAAGAATGGACTCACTATGACTTCTGGATCACAACATAGTGAATGAAGTGTTTTAAAACACTGTAGTCAGCAATTTAGAGTCAAATCTTGACTCCAGGGCCTACTAACTCTGTGACCATGGACAAATCAAATGATTTCACTTAGTCTTGGTTTCTTAGGGAGGCTGAATTACTGGCTCCAAGTCCCCGCCCCGTGTATTCCCTGTAGCCACACCATTGTCAGGGCCTAATTGTGGATGGAAAGTATCACTCCTGCCCTTGACTTTGAGCTTGAAGTTGTTCTCTTGCCAAAGAAATGTGGGTGGGGTGGTCAATGTGCCTCTTCTAAACTTAGGTGGGAAGAGGCCTTGTGTTTCTGATTACTGTCTTGCATTCTGTCATCACCAAGAGAAAATTTTATCCTGGCAGCTGCTTCCCTTTGATCCTGAGTTTCATGACCACCATGTGACGAGTAGAGC